CCATTGCCTTCTGGGTGGTCGGGTCTTTATGCCACGGTCGAAATCAATACAAAGCTGTATGCTACCAAATCGTCTGCAGCTGGAATCGAACCTGGCATTTCGGAATTTCGTAGTGCATCCCAGCACCAAAACCACAATCGTATACGATAATGCAGATGTATATTCATCAACTCATCCCCGCTAGACTAGTTATGGAACTGGCCTTACTTCGATGGACTAATTAAACGGGTTTTGTGTGTGTGTGTGTGTGGCTAAGATCAAAGTGTAGCTCTGCCCAAATCAAATTTGAAATATTGCTAACGAGAATATGAAGGTGCGTTTAAATTACATCGAACGAACGGTCGAGCAAACGATGGTTTTGAAAGAGGTGGGAGCCCGAAGACAACTAATCACAGACATCAGATGAAGACAGTCGTCATTTGTCAGCCATGTTATGAAAAGAGGGGAAAATGAAACATTTGGTGACCACTGGAAAGATCTGTGGAAGGAGGGATAGAGGAAGACAACGAGAGAAGATTCTTGACAGTCTTGTTGCATGGCATGGATGTGTGTCAGCACACGAACTGATACATGCTGCAAGAGATAGCAGATTGTGGAGAGGCATGTTCGCTCACGCCAGTCGGCAAGGCATCTGATGATGATGATACACTATTCGTATTCGTATTCGGCCGAATAGTTAGTCCCACTATTCGTATTCGACCGAATAGTGAAAATCACTATTCGGTACAGCCCTAATTGCTACACAGTTGAACAGGGTTTCCGGGATTTGTACGTGTTTGATTCTCATACTTGAGATGTTAATCCTACAGACCGCAGTCCTGGAGGGGAAAACTTCTTCTTCTTCTTCTTCTTCTGCGTTCGATATCAGTCATGCTAAACATTGAGTCCCGTCTGGGTCACAAATAGGATTGTGCGTTTAAGGTCGCCACCGGTCCCCCATAGCTTCTCTTGCAATGTGGCTCCTTTGGGCCAGATCCACAGTCTTTGCTGGGAGAGGTAAGGGCAGTACTGCAGTATGTGTTCAGGGGTTTGTCTTTCTGCTCCACAATCACAGGCAGCAGATTCTTTTATGCCTATCCTGTACAAGTGTGCTCGAAGACCACAGTGTCCAGTCCGAAGTCTAAGAATTGATGTTTGTTCTTTCCTGTTGAGTTTGTTTATGCTGTCACTCTCTGGTCTGTAATCTCCATTCTGCCTTCTCCACTCCCGCTTGAATTACTGCTTTAGCGCTGTTTTGGTTTCCTTGTAGCTGTGTGGTGGACGAGGTTGTGGAAGATTACTCCCAGCTTTTGCCAGCTCATCTGCTCTCTCATTTCCTTGAATACCACAGTGGGCTGGTATCCACTGCAAGACCAGTTCTGCTTCCTTGGAGAGTAAGCCAATGTTGGTTCTTAGATCAGCAATTATTTTGTCTTGTTTTTTGCTGGATAGTGCTTGGAGAACAGACAATGAGTAGCTAAGTATAACAATTTGGTGCCCTCTGTGTTCTTGAGTGATGAGATGTTGGACTGCAGAGAGGAGAGCAGTTGCCTCAGCTCTGAAGTTAGTGCAGATGTCATCTGCTGGTAGAGAGAGAGTTTCTGCTCTACTGCTAGGGGGTTTAATGTAAATTCCACAACCCCCCTTTCTGACTGCATCTGTAGCAGAGCCGTCGGTGAAAACCTGAGTCCAAGTGGTGTTTGGATACTTCTCATCAAGCATAGCAAGAGCCAGGGTTCTCTGTTGTGTCTCCGTCTGGGCATCTTTTGAAGTGATTCCTGGTACCTTTAGGACTACATTTGCTTTCTCTGGCTTGCTTGTCCATGGTTCTGGCGAGGGGAAAACTAAACAAAGGGTATTTAATGACAGCTGTTTGGTACTAGTTCATAGCAATAGTGATTATCTATACAGATGGCTCTGTGGTGAGGGGCAGACGAAGTGCATGGGGGCTTCATAGCAAAGGCGAATGGACGTCACTTAGTGCAACAAATTATGGCATTGGATATCACAACATCTAGTTCGAGAATGGAGGTGGGGGCAGTCACTGCTACCTTCCACTGGCTTGAGAATCAGCTGTACACACATACCGTGATTGTCACTGACTCACAGAGCATGTGGACAGAGCATGTGGAGAATGGTGGAGTCAGGGATGCTCCGTGCAGAGTGGAAAGCCTCACTTCAAAGGTCCCGGGTAGTTAGTATCCTTTGGATATTCTCTCCAGGTCATGCCGGTGTGTTGGGAAATGAGCAGGCAGATAGACTGGCCAGTTCTGCACCACTTGGTGATGAACTGATGTATGACAAGCTAGACGTTGTAAGCGCCCTCTGTGAGCGAGTGAACAGTGCGGAAGTGCAAATAGATCAATAAGGTCTGAGGGGAATGTCGCTGCGAGAAGTTAACAGGGAATCTGGCCGACGCTCAGCACTCAAAGGAAGGACGAGACGGATTTACATCAGTTATTGGTGCCACCGGAAGAGGAATCTTCGTTTGCTGCTGAAGATAGGGACGGAGCGCTTATGGGGAGGGGATGTCCCGAGTGCTATGATGTCGATTCCTAATTAAACATTTGGCTTTCCTCCGAATAACGGTCGGTAAAGATGGCGACCACAAAATATCCTTTCGAGCTAAGGTCACGTGTCATTTGCGCACTTCCGGCGACTTAATTTGCGGTTCTCCGGCGGTTTTCCGAGTCTCGCGGCGTGGATTGGGGCTAAACTAGATGGCTAGGACCCACGAGCAGCAGCTTCCGCATATCCGGAAGCTTTGCTCGTGAGTCCTAACCATCTAGGGAACTCGTGGCGGTGGTGTGGCGGTAGTCACCGGAAAACCGCCGAAGAACCGCAAATTAAGTCACGTGACTGTATCTTGAAAGGATATTTTGCGGTCGCCATCTTTACCGACCGTTATTCGGAGGTTAGCCAAACATTCATCAATAGCGAGACAGTGAGCCGAAGGAGCGCGCAACGCATCAGGACACGTAGTGAGTACTTTTAATCAGTGTCCCCTGTAAGTCTTCGTGCTTAATTTCCCATAATGTATGTTAAAATTATGCCTCCGATTGCTTCTCTTTCTATGCCGCGACTGTATTGTAATTGTGATATTACGAATGGGGTGGGCGGAGGAGACGCCTTCGCATTGAAATAAAAACGAAACTCGTTTTGGTAAAGAAACAAAAAATTGTAACTTCTAAGCGGTTGACCAATCAAATCATACTTTAGAAGTTTAAAGCCAATCGAATTTACGGTTACATTTTTGGATTCTAGTTGTTTACAAATGGTGGATCATTTAGTCAACTAGTGCTGGAGGTAAGACATTCACTGCAACTATTTTAAAATCATTACACATTGTAGAGACAATGGGGAGAATTGGACATCTTAATTGTTTATCAAACTTATTGATTTATCTTATATTTTTTATGATATGTGTATTCCTAGCGAAACTAAATTGAGGGCTGCAATTGTCAGTTTTATTTTTAATAATATAAAATATAGTATCTTAATAGTTAGTGCACAACAGCAGGTTGCAACTTGTATGTAAGGGAACCCCGGTAGCGTAGCGGCTAGACGCTCGAAGGTTTCCGTTCAAGTCCGCATCGAGTGGGATTTTTTTTTTTTAAATGACAATGGTTTCCAGATTGACCTAACCTAACATGAACCAGGTAAATTCATGGGAAATAAACGCTACTGACGTGATGTTCACCACATTACCCATCAAGTTCAGGTGTTTATTTGTGTCTAAAAATATTGTCTGGCATCATCATGTGCCCGCTGCACCACTTGCTTCAGCAGGGTCCTCTGTTTATGAGTTTTAATAGTTGACTGACTTATCATAACTATTTTTTTTTTCAACACTATGCTATCAATGTCAAACATGGACACTCATACTCCAGTGAACGTAAAATTGTGACAACAGAGAGGAAATGCCTTAGAAGAGCTGCAAGAGTTTCAAGAAAGACAGAATATGAAATCACAAAATCAGATGAATGATAGGAATAAAGCCAGTCTTACAAGTCATCAAAGAACAACAAATGAAGTGGTTTGGAAACCTAACAAGAATGCCTTGGTAATATTTGCCACAGCAAGCCACACTAAAATGTTACAATGGGTATAGAGCAAGTAAAATACCTTGGAAAATATGGAGTGATGGCATTAAGAACAGCCTTACAGAAATGAACATCAGTCTTAAAAGTGCTTTTGACAGAGCTCATCAACGAATGTTACTTCTCCCCCTGACACTTCGCTGAGGTACAAGGTGGAAGAGAAGAAGAAGAATAGTTGACTGACTTCACTGTAGACAGTTTGAAGTATTACCACTGCCTTTTTTAAAATAGAAAAATTGATGATTATGGGGTTTATCCTTCATACACAAAATGAAAAATAAAAAGTCGCAAATACCACTATCATCATGTAGCAGGTCATTTGCAGAATGTCACTCTCATCACAGTCTGCCTGAAAGAAACTTGGTCTCTCGCCAGCTCTCCCGCCTCATGTACTTTCATATTCAAGGAGTCACTTATATCCTGTGCCCATCTTCGTGTTGGGACACCACTATAGTACTTTATAATACAACTAAAAAACTTAACAGTTGATATACTGTTGATTTATACTCTACGCCTCTTTTATCCCAAAACAAGTCCTCTGTGTATATGTTCATATATGCCTGCAACTTTGAGCATTATTCTATATATATTTTTTTTTCTAATAAATCAGGCAGTGTTTAAATATACTTTGTGGTATGCAAAAGTGTTGACATTATTCTAGTGATTACACCTATACAAGTGATTACACCATTGAATCGGTTGTTCACATAATGTATGTATGAGTACCTGCATGTGAGTGTACATGCACTTATGCATATACACACAAAATAACCTGTATTTCTTGGAAGCAGAACAAAAGGAAGTCAATAGATAAGAGTGGACAGGTTGCATCCACCTTGAGTAATTTATTTTGTTTTGTTTGTTCAGGTTTGACAGATAATTATTCTCAGGGCCTATTACAAACTGTAGCATTCAGTAATAATGAGTACTTCAGGGAAAGTGCCAGATGTGGCTGCTGAAGTCAGGATTGCTTCACCAACAGCCGAAGCAGAGTCACCCAGCACTTCTTTATCAGCTCGTTTGCAGGTCAACTATTAATCACATAATTTGACTTTTTTTTTTCTTCTTCTTCTTCTTCTTTCTCTTATTCTCCCTCCTCCTCCTTTTTTTCCTCCTCTTCTCTGCCATTTATCAGCAGTGTAGCCAAGGCCCACAACCAAATCTTGACAGTTTGTTTTTTTTTTTGGTATCATGTGTAGCTTACACTGTTTGCTCCCCTGGTTTTTTTTTTAGGGTTTTATTTTTATTAAATTTTGTTATTTAACCATATAACTCCATTTTACATAGTTTTTTTTTAATTAAGTACTATGTTTGGTTTTAAATGTATTTTAAATATTTGTTTGCCTTTAAATCTCTACTCTTCTACATGTTAATCTATATGTTAATTTAATTCAGTTAACAGCAAAATGAATTTCAGTATATCATTGATGTGCACAAAATAAGTTTCTGGAAGGGCAGCAGGGTTGTTATGTCCATTGTTAACCTTTTGAAGAATAATTTACTTGTCTGTTTATCTGTCTGTATCTGCTTTCCTCCACTACCACTAAACATGTGATTTACTCTGTAATTCATATGAACTGTAAACGTGAGGCTGAAAGTTTGACATGACACAATCTTTTGTTCATTGTAGCTTTCTTGAGCTGACCTGTCCTTCATGTTTTCCAGTTGTTTGCATTACCGTGTAAATTTTAAATCAAAAAGTTGTGAACCCTTTTCCCGGGAAGGCTAACCCAGACAACAAATGCCTGCAGAAGTCGGATACATCAACAAAGAAAGTGCAAATATTGCAGTCAAATTGTAAATGGGCATAACATGTTTACATCTTCGGATGAATGCAGAATAAGAAGAAGAAGGACCCTTTTCACCCCAGTGGCATATCAGACACATGATAATGGTGCTGGACTCATATTTCTGTAGAGCTGTCAGTACTTGAAGGGTGATATGGTTAATATCACACCAGCTACCTTAACTTCTCCCATGAAATTTCCTGTTACCCATGCAGGACTCACCACTAAGTGCCTATTACAGTAGAACTGAAAAATATGATACCTAAAAAATAGGTGCAGCACTGCGTATCATTGTGTACTGGCAGAAGAAGAAAAAGCTCAGTACAAAGAAATGTCATGGGAAGCAAAGGTGACCAGCATGATGTTGATCACATCAGCCATTGAATGCCTATTAGGCTGTACCAAATATGAGTCTGGCATCATATGCCCAATACACCACTCACACATTTTCATTTCGATTGGTTTGTTTGTTGGGTGCATTCACTGACTGTAAACCCCCACAAAAAGAAATGAGTTTTACAGATCTTCCCCACAGAGTGACCCCGGAACCCACACAGGGAAAATGGATTGTTATTTTTATCTAATAAATTTCAGGAAGAGTACTCTGAACTTCTGAGGTATGCTGTCGGAGGATCAGGTCAAGGATTTCAGCCAATCAGGTCAGGAGGTTCAAGTGCCCGTCAAACACCAGTTGACCAACAGCAGGGTAACAATTACTTTGGCTCCGGCTAAATTGAGTTTTATGTGAAGCCTCTGTCTGATTAGGTCAAAGGTGAAGGTAGTCCCCCAGCATATACTGTCATTGAAGTGTGAATTGTTTGGCCATAACACCCTCTAGACCACATCGTATGAAGTGAGACAGCTAGTTCCTTTCAGTGGCTTGGCTTTCCTTCCCATACAGTTCCTAGACAGTTCTGGAAATGTTCTTATAGCAATTTTTATGAGGCTGAGTCAAACCCAGCAGACCACCTTGCATTGATTTCAACAGGGGTTTCTAGAATCGACCATTCAGAAAGCAGCGGTAGACTGCTGAACATAAAATTACTCAGTAAAACTAAAAGGACCAAAAAAATGCTTGGGTTGGTTCTGTGACAGGTCAAATCCAGAGTTATACTGATGGGGGTGGCGAGAGACTTCCACCTCTGGGAATTGAACCAGCATATAAGCAGAGTTGAATCGCAGCAAAGATATGACTATGCTGTACATGAGTTGAATTAAAAACTAAAATCACATCACATCACTCAAAATATTTCCATAATTGTTCAGATTCTGATGGTACCCTAACAGTCTGATTGTATATCATTCCCCCCCCCCCCCCCCTTCCCCTGAGTGTTGAGCGTCGGCCAGATCCCCCCTGCAGCACTGTTTTCCTCAGACTATGATGATCTAATTGTGCCTCCACACTGTTCACTCACTCCTAAAGGAACCTTACAAAATCAAGCTTTCATGCATCAGCTCAACACCGTGTGGTGTGGTACAGAATCAGCCTGTACTGGTGTTGAGGGGGGGGGGCGTGGTTGACCCACTAGCCCCCTACAAGCATGTTATAAGAGAGTTTACTAATTGGGACATTCCCCTTCGAAGTCGGAATACAATTCAAACAGGTCTGTAAAATGGATGTGCATGCAAAACTCAAGTTCTGGAACAAGACTAAAGTCCAGAAGGGGATGAACAACCAGAACTTTCTGCCAAAGTTTACAGCCAGTGACCACAGGAAGCATAAGATTTGTGTGTGCGTGTATAAGTATTGCATTATGAAATACTCTGACTTAAAGGCAATATTTAGTTTATTATTAAAATACTATTATCCAAATTGCAATATTTTATTTTCCATAATGTTGTTTCTTATTTTCTGATAAGATTTGGATGTACAAATGAAAGCTCAAGGAAATGGTGGATCAGGAAATACCAATACAAACTCACTGTATGTTAACCAGCCGCCACGATACAGGAGTGCAGCAAGTACTAAACTGGCAGACGCAAATATAAATAATGATGTACAATGTAAGTAGTCAATGGTGTTTATTTTTTTAAATATCCTTTTGCCCCTAATCCGTTTCTTTTTTCATTGTTTCCCTTTTCTTCTTTTCTATCATATATTTTGGATAGTGCAACTTCTGTGGGCTTCACAAGTCTATTTTCATGACAGTATACTTCAATATTATTGTATTTGTAATATCTTTTCTTTTCCATTCATTGAACTATCTAGTCATTTTGTGTTTGGTGACTCCTTGTTATCAGCTCAACTGCAGTTACTCTTTTTTACTTGAAAACTGAATGCTTATAGATGTTGTGATGATGTAAGTCCCAAGTGTCTTATCTATTATTTTCCAGATGGTGATAATGAAACATATGAATATACGTCTTCACGAGTAAATACAATGATGTCATCAGCTTATGCTACAATTTTTGAACCACCCTTGGCATGCATGAGCGGGAAATTGGATTCCTGGTTGGGGAAGTTGAAGCGGGATATATTGGTAATTATTTTCTCATATATTAAATTTAGATAACAGAGAGACAACAACTGCCAACATAAAAGAGTTGAATGGGAGTAGACCATGAAGGAAACCAAGAAAACTGTGGATAGATAATATACAGGCAGACCTACAAACACTTAGAGTCCTCAACTGGAAACAGAAGGCCACTCACAGAGATAAATGGAAACAAGGTGATATCTGCAGCAATGCACCTCATAGGCTGTGACTGCTGAAGAAGAACGTGTTATCATTTATTTCCTTAGGAAAAAAAATTCAGTTATATTTTGTCATATAAGCCATTTAACTAAATATCTCTACGGATGTTTGTATATAGACCATATGGTCTAAATTTTAAAAAATATAAAAAAATATTGGTGTATAAACATATATCAGATGCCAATATTTCCTTTTTTGTTTGGCTAGTTAGGGAGGCAAGCGAAAATGCAGATCAATATCGAACCAGCTCTTTTAAGTCATGTTGGTAAAATGTATGCTAAGATAATAGAAATGAGGCTGCGACCAGTGATAGAAACACAGCCTGCATTAGAACGGATGGGTTTCAGAAGAAATAGAAGCTGCAGAGATGCAATCTTCACGCTTATACAGTTAACAGAAAAGAATTTTGAATATGATCATAACTTATTCGTAGAACAGGAGAAAGCTTTCGACAGGGTCAATAGACAAAAATTATGGAAAGTAATGGCTTGATATGGAGTAAGTGAAAAACCTCATTGAAGTTTGCAAAAGCTTATATGGAGATTGTACAAGTGTGGTTAGAATAAATCAGGAAACATCCAAACCATTCAAATTAACATCTGTAGTAAGACAGGGATGTGTCTTTTCACCACTCCTGTTTATCACCTACATTGACAGTATAAGCAAAGATGCCAAGCCCAGGAACGAAAATAATAGTAGCATCAACAAATTACTCGTTGCTGACAACCGGGTCTTGATTACAGATAAAGCATGAATTTACAACAGCATCTCACATCCATGAATGAAGAATGTAGATCAAATATTATAAGAATCAACATCAAAAAGACAGAAGTAATGTCAATAGTAAGAAAGAAGCAGATTTAAAAAAAGAATTAGAGCATACATATATTATACAGGCATCCCAGTTTCATTATCTTGGAACAACATTCACTGAAGATGGTAAATTGGATGAAGACATAAACATCCTATGCAGTAAAGCAGGCCAAGTATATGGACAACTAGCCCCCCCCCCCCCCCCCCCCTTTTTTTTTTACAGCATAAGACAATCCGAATCAGCACAAAGAAACACCTCATACAAAGCATATTCATTCCCACCCTATGCTATCAGTACCAGACGTGGTCAGTCACAACAAACCATAAATGAAAATTAGTAACCATGGAAATGAGGCATTGAGAAAGGCTGTAGGAGTGACCAGAAGAGATAAAATCTGGAATAAGGTCATTCGAGGTAAAGTCGGCACAGAACCACTTCTAAATTACACACAAAGACAGCAAATCAAATGGTTTGCTTACTTGGAGAGAATGCCTTCTTATGCTTATACCATACAAGGTATATATCAAAAGAGGAGAAGGGCGTAGAGCAAGAGGTATATCAAGATCAAGATGGGAAGATAACATAAGAGAAATTCTACAGCCCCATGATATGTCTATGGTCGAAGCAGCCAGGAGAGCACGAAGCAAGACCTTATTTCTCCCTTGACACCCGAAGTGGTAAAAGAGGACATAAAGAAGAAGAAGAAGTTCAAGCATTATTTTTATCTTTAAGTTTTCGTATTTGTGCATGTTTAGGAATCTGATTCCAAGTTTGTTATTTATGCTTTTAAGAACAACACTAACTCTAAAACTTTGAATGGGGATAGTAAAAAGTTACTATCTTGCGAGAATGAAACTCAAATATATTACAGTTTTACTGGCCTCAAACCCTGAACGATCAACACAAATACTTAAAAGTATTTTACTTAAGTTCTGCCATCTCATCCTTTACATTTCTAGTGTGCATTCTGGAATCCCATTTGACAGAAAATAAAATAGACCTACTGCCATCTAACAAGCATGTAATAAAAGGATATTTGCTAAAGTATGATCTGATAGGCTGAAAGGCATATATATCACAGCCTAATTGTAAACTACAACACAAAGTACCAACTGTCCTTTTCAAGGTGAACACAGAAGAAGATTCTTTATACAGTAAAATAAAGTGTTTATATGTTTTCTGACTGAATTATTTGAAGTTAAATGTTTATATTACAATAACATTTTCAACCAGTTCAGTAGCAGAAAAAATACATTTGATTTAGAGCAACAACAACAAAATAATAAAACGTGTTTATAAGAGAACATTTATAAAAGATATTTAGTTAGAAAACAGGAAGATCTCTGTGGTGAAAAGACTAAACTAGTCATGGAAAACAGGAAGATCTCTGTGGTGAAATGACTAAACTAGTCATGGAAAACAGGAAGATCTCTGTGGTGAAATGACTAAACTAGTCATGGAAAACAGGAAGATCTCTGTGGTGAAATGACTAAGCTAGTCATAGAAAACAGGAAGATCTCTGTGGTGAAAAGACTAAACTAGTCATGGAAAACAGGAAGATCTCTATGGTGAAAAGACTAAACTAGTGAAAAAGGAAGATCTCTGTGGTGAAATGACTAAGCTAGTCATAGAAAACAGGAAGATCTCTGTGGTGAAATGACTAAGCTAGTCATAGAAAACAGGAAGATCTCTGTGGTGAAATGACTAAGCTAGTCATAGAAAACAGGAAGATCTCTGTGGTGAAAAGACTAAACTAGTCATGGAAAACAGGAAGATCTCTGTGGTGAAAAGACTAAACTAGTCATGGAAAACAGGAAGATCTCTGTGGTGAAATGACTAAGCTAGTCATAGAAAACAGGAAGATCTCTGTGGTGAAATGACTAAGCTAGTCATAGAAAACAGGAAGATCTCTGTGGTGAAATGACTAAGCTAGTCATAGAAAACAGGAAGATCTCTGTGGTGAAAAGACTAAACTAGTCATAGAAAACAGGAAGATCTCTGTGGTGAAAAGACTAAACTAGTCATAGAAAACAGGAAGATCTCTGTGGTGAAAAGACTAAACTAGTCATAGAAAACAGGAAGATCTCTGTGGTGAAAAGACTAAACTAGTCATAGAAAACAGGAAGATCTCTGTGGTGAAAAGACTAAACTAGTCATAGAAAACAGGAAGATCTATGTGGTGAAAAGACTAAACTAGTCATGGAAAACAGGAAGATCTCTGAGGTGAAAAGACTAAACTAGTCATAGAAAACAGGAAGATCTCTGTGGTGAAAAGACTAAACTAGTCATGGAAAACAGGAAGATCTCTGAGGTGAAAAGACTAAACTAGTCATAGAAAACAGGAGGATCTCTGTGGTGAAAAGACTAAACTAGTCATGGAAAACAGGAAGATCTCTGAGGTGAAAAGACTAAACTAGTCATAGAAAACAGGAGGATCTCTGTGGTGAAAAGACTAAACTAGTCATAGAAAACAGGAGGATCTCTGTGGTGAAAAAACTAAACTAGTCATGGAAAACAGGAAGATCTCTGTGGTGAAAACACTAAGCTAGTCAGAGATCTCTGTGGTGAAATGACTAAGCTAGTCATAGAAAACAGAAAGATCACTGTGGTGAAAAGACTAAACTAGTCATAGAAAACAGGAAGATCTCTGAGGTGAAAAGACTAAACTAGTCATAGAAAACAGGAGGATCTCTGTGGTGAAAAAACTAAACTAGTCATGGAAAACAGGAAGATCTCTGTGGTGAAAACACTAAGCTAGTCAGAGATCTCTGTGGTGAAATGACTAAGCTAGTCATAGAAAACAGGAGGATCTCTGTGGTGAAATGACTAAGCTAGTCATAGAAAACAAGAGGATCTCTGTAGTGAAATGACTAAACTAGTCATAGAAAACAGGAGGATCTCTGTAGTGAAATGACTAAACTAGTCATAGAAAACAGGAGGATCTCTGTAGTGAAATGACTAAACTAGTCATAGAAAACAGGAGGATCTCTGTAGTGAAATGACTAAACTAGTCATAGAAAACAGGAAGATCTCTGTAGTGAAAAGACTAAACTAGTCATAGAAAAAAGGAAGATCTCTGTAGTGAAAACACTAAACTAGTCATAGAAAACAGGAGGATCTCTGTGTTGAAATGACTAAGCTAGTCATTTTACTAAAACTTTGAAGGTTCATACAGGTTCAGTTTAAGACAACATCATTCACTTCTTAATGTTCTGACTTTTCTCCCATCCCCTTGAGGTCATCACTGAAGCTGCTTATAAGTTTATGTCTGGGAAGACCAGGGCCAGTTTGGGGGAAAACCTGTGTGCATTTATGTTGATCCTTTTCATCTCTGTAAAAGAATTAAATATAATTAAAAAGTAAAATAATGAAACACTTTTTTTGCTTATAACAGAACAGTACATTTTTGTTTAGAACCAAGCAATAAACCTATTTGTTTAGATCACAGCTATCGACACATTTGTGTAAAGCGGAGTAATAATTATTAAACACATTTATTAAGAACAGAATAATATTTAAACACATTTGTTTCGAATGTCATAATGTTTCGCCACAGGCTGAGTTTAAGCTTCTGGCAGTTCAAATTCTGGAAAGTCAAAAGAATGCACACCAAGAGGAAATAAAAGAGTGAGTACATAGTGCAGCAGAACCCCCCCCCCTCCCCCTTTTTTTTTTTTGAAAGCTTTTACTGAACATTTAGATTTCTCAGTTTTCTAGCACCCCTTGGGGAAAGGGGGGGGGGGGGGGATAGACCCACTGCCCGCTAACAGTAGGGTGACCATAAGTCTAGTTTTCACCGTGACAGTAAGAAGGCCCGGACTGCCCCATCTATATTTAAAAAGGAAAGAAGAGTTTGCTTGGGACTATGCACTTTTATTTTTTGTTGAGTATCAACAGGACATTTGTTTCCTAAAGTGATAATGACCTGATGGAAACTGCTGTTGCGGTATTCATGTCGATTTATTCCTGCCACCTATGGATTTGCTCGACTAAGGCCGCTGTCCTGATGGTGTCTTCAGCTAGTGTCATCCATGACTTTCCTCTTTTTAACCAGTAACCTCTTAAAACCTTCAGATTACTATGCTAGGGATGCCTTTCATCGTTGATAACTCACATATAGGCCTTTACCGATGTCATCCCAAGCATAAACCTCATTGTTGTAATTGGTGTTCGATTATTGATTAGTGATTAGAAAGGATTATCATCACAGCACTCCGGACAGATCCATAAGTGCTCCGATCTCCTCCTCAAAAGCTCCACAAGTGTAAAACGACTGATGACTCCTGTTCAGTGTTGGTTAATGAAACATTAAGCATATTCATCAAGTCACTAAGAAAGCATACCTGTGTGAACTTTTGAGTACCAAGCCATGCTTAAGCCCTTGTTACAGCCATAATTTACATTGCAAGGCTACTAGTTGTAACAACTAAGGCACCATTCATCTCCCTGATGGTTTTCCCCCTTGAGCTTACTGTGAAGGCCCATGCACTTCGCTTGCCCCTAATTAATGACCCATCTATGTAAACTACAGCATCACCTTTATCTGTGTTTTCGTCAGTCAGTGTTCTGACTAAAGTGTCAACAATGCCAGGAATCTCCATTCTACAGCTTCCATCAAGTCTGATATGGACTGTAATATTCATGTTTGGAGAGGGAGGCATAATTCTCCGTTCATTTCCAAAATTAAAATCAGTAAGGCGGCAAACATGTTCGATGGCATCCTCAGCCCGACCCATCCAGGGTATGCCTCACTTGAGTCTACTCTTTTTTTTGTTTGAATAATTCCTCATAAAGTGGGTGTCCATGGTCTGATTTCACTTTGAGAAAAGCAACAGCCCTGGATAGCTTGATTCTGTTTTCCGTTGTGGGGAAATCCAAGAGGTATCGCATGGATTTACAGGAGGTGTCTCTAGTGCATCCAAGACTAATGCGCATTGCCTCGTTTTCAATTTTTTAAGTCTGTTCTTCTGTGTGGTGCTGAGTGTCATGATGGCCAAGGCATATTCAATGGTGGAGAGAACTAATGCACGATACAGCATTACAAGTAGCCGTTGCTCAAAGTTTGCAGCTTCCATAACTTTTATTATGGAGAGACCTTTCTTGGCTTTGGTTATAATGTGGTCTACGTGTTTTTTTTTTTTAATGCTAAGCATCTGTCAAATGTTATACCTAGGTATTTCATGGAATCAGATCTCTCCACGTCAGCTCCACAGAGTTTTACTATCGGCATTGGTGTTTGAGAAAGGTGATTATTTAATGAGAACCAGGTGACTGTCGTTTTTGATGGAATAATTGTTGCCCCTGAGGTGTTGCACCAGGATGATATATGATCTAATTCCTGTTGTAGATCCGAAACAATGTCATCTCTGTTCCTGCCCTGTCGGTACACGAGGATATCATCCGCATATGATAAAGTTCTTCCTCTGCCACTCAGTTGTTCTCCTGTGACTGTGTAAATGTTGAAAAGGATAGAAGACAATGAAGAACCCTGTGGCAAACCAGGGTGTATTGTTATCGGCTCAGAAAACCAACTACCACATCGAAGCACGACCTTCCTCTGGAAAAGTGCGGCAGATATCCATCAAATGAAATGTGGGGGGATGTTGAGTTCAATTAACTGACACATTAGTTGGTGGAAGGGAACTTTGTTGTATGCATCCTCCAAATCTATGGCAACTGCACATGTCTCAAATCTAGCTTGAAAACCTTCAAATGTTTCATGTGCAAAGAGGGCAGCATTACGATATCTCTTTTTATTTTGTCTGTATCCTCCAGGTGTGAAGGGTAGCAGCTGATGTATTTCAACATGGCTTGAAAGTCTTCTCGCTATTATCTTTTCCAATGTTTTGCCTAATGTGTTCCACTTTGATATATTAGGACATTATCTGCAAATGTCAAAGTGGCTGTATTTTTGCCAGACTTTCTGTAAGTATGTAGAACAAGTCAGGCGACAGTGGTTATCCCTGAGGAAGGGTGGCCAGATGCATATTAAATCTGATCTCCATGTTCCCAAACAAAATACCACTGGTTTTTTTCCAACTGCTGCCCCCATCTATTTAACCAACCAAGGTTTCTCACGTCCATTAGGCACTGCATAAGATGTGTGATGTCAACACCGTTATAGGCATCTTTAAGATCTTTCACATTTTTCATACACATCATATGTAAACTTACGAGCATTGTCTCATATTGCCTTTGATGGCCTAAAGCTGCCAATGGTATCGGGTAGCATGCCCATTCTCTCTAATTGTGACATCACTTTCTTCATCAACATTTTTTGGACTTCCGGTTAAAATGGACGCTAGACAGCAGCGCTGTTCGAAGCAGAGGCAAATGTTTTGCTTCTGCCGGACGGTGGCCGAAGTATTTTTGCTCCATTTGTAGACTGGATATAGTTTCGTCGCCCAGCTTCTGAGTTGAATGCATGGCGTGACCCTGTGAGCTGCGGATTGCATTTGGAATGTATTTTCGACTGTGACCAACGTGGTGGTGTGAATTGTAGATTCAGAAAATGGCGTGCAATGTTGGCGGTGCCCGTATCTGGTTAAAATTGATCGTGTGGACAACTGCTGAACTGTTGGCGACAAGTTATGCTATCATCAATGATGAACTGCATTTCTAATGTTGGACTGTTTGTGTTAGCACTTCGGATGGCTACCGTATGCTTTAATGCGAGTGTATGCTAGATATGCTGAGACAGCAGTCTGTCAATATTTCCACAAGGGACTGTGATAAACATTCTGGGTGTTTTTTCGTTGGCACAGGAGCGGAGCAAAGATGGGGCGACCCGTTGCTATGAAGCTGAAATTAAGACTACCAGACTACCAGACTTCATCAACATTTTTCCCAGCAGTTTGCCTTACACATTTTGCCAGCTAATGATTCTACAATTGCTGAGTTGTGAGGGATCCCTGCCTGGTTTTGGAAATGATTTGACGTAAGATAACTATGTAACCAGTCATCTGGTACATTTGATGTTTGGATACTTTCATTAAAGTCCCTCACAAGATTTAGTATTTCATCACTATTTAACTGTTGGATACTGCCATAACCTACACCCTCTGGAAGTACGTTTATGTAGATTTGAATAAAATAAATCTGTTTATGAAATCATTTTTATTTTTAGGATCAGTTGTGAAAGACAACAGCTGGAAAAAGAAGTTAATCGGCTAAATGAAATGGTCAACACATGTGAACAAAGTATGTCCAGGAAAGATGTAGTGATTGAGAATCTGACACAAGCACTTGGGAAGCAAAGAGATAAAGTCTCAATGGCGCAGGCTTTCTATCTTACAAGGGCTGAACATGCAGAAGCAAAAAGAGAGGTTTGTTTTATTGATAATGTATGTTATTTGAGTTTAGGTGTTAACTCTTTTAGTGCCACACAGGCATTACTTTAAACAATTCCCTTGTAAAATATTTGTATTTGTTAGTCTTCTTCTTCTTTCGTTTGCCTGAAATACATTGTCTATATTAGAGATTTTGTCTCTTGTATAAATTTCACTGTCGTTCATTCAGTGGTCCATAGAGTTTACGTTCCACTGTTGTTCTTTCTGGCCAAAAGGTTTACCTTCATGTATCAAATTCGGAGCGGTCCTGGAGTACATGCTCTACTGTATGGGGCACAGTCCCAGTACTTTATCCATTACCCATTTTAGGCTAGGTAAACTTGGGAGCCAAGGTCATCGAAAATCTTTGAAGTAAATTAAATAGTAATGTTATGGGACATAAGGATTTAAAGAAATAACTGAGATATAGTGGATTAACATAACAGAAGATTGGCCGGAAAATGATGGGAAATATGCACTATTCATAATCAATAAACATGTAATGCTGTCTCAATTACTTAAAGAGTTTAAACAAATATAAAAATAATTAAAGTGTATGTTTTATCAGAAGTTAAGATTTTGGTCATTAAAGAAAAATAATGCATGAATGTATCATACAGTCCATAAGTCAAACATAAAATTGTTTTCATAGTTCATGATGTGTGTCATTGATGTTCATGCCCAGCTCTTGTGCTGTCAGCTATTTCTAGTGCTGATGTATTTACATAGCATGGTGTTAATCTGTTTAATGCTTTGGTCTCACTCTGCCTCTCTTCCCCTGCAGCTTTCTTGTTGTCTTGGCACTTTAGTCATCTCCTTTCCCGCAATGTGCTGAATGAATGTGGATTATCTTCTCCTGACGCACATACCTTTTGTGAATTGCTATTTGTATTTGCAGCTTTTGGCAAAAATGTATATCATTTTTGGTGTTTTGTATTAATTAGAATTGTCCCCATAATATTCATACATACTGTGATTTTTCTTGTGACATAAAGTTACCACTTTTGTAAATAAATAAACATTATCATGCACTGTGCCGGTAAGCGTAGTCTGATGTTTCAGCATCTCACATGATCACCAGAATCACAGATCAGTTCAGTGTTTTTGTCTTGCCTGATCTATCTGGCCAGGCCATCCAGCTATTTATCTCTTTGCCTTTTTCTTGTCCTCTTTCCATCAACCTTGCCAGCAGTTACTCCTTATAAAATGTCCCAAAAAATTACTATTTGTCTAAGTCTAATTGTTCTAATAAGTTTACAACTTTCATCTTTCTCACTGAGGACTACTTCCTTTTTTTTTTTTCTATCCTTCCATGGTATTTGGCATTCTTCTCCAAAACCACATCTCTGTAGCTAATAAATGTTTTTCAACTTGTCTGCTTATTGTCCATGTTTGATGATGCATATAGCAGCACAAATAAATAAACAGTTGATGTTAAATCTAGAAGAGTAACCCAGATGTTTTGAAAGAGGTAGGTGATCAAAGACAACTTATCACAAATGTCAGAAAGAGACAGTCATCAATTTTTTTTTGGGGTCATGTTATGAGAAGAGGAAAAATGGAACATGTTGTGTCAACTGGAAAGATTCATGGAAAGAGAGACAGAGGAAGCCACCGCATGAAGATTCTTGACAACCTTCTGTCATGACATGGAGGGGTGTCAGCACAAAACTGATACACACGGATTGCAGATTATGTAGAGGCATAATCGCCCATGGTAGTCACCAAGGAACTTGATGCTGATGATGATGATGTTAAATTGTGTATATTCCTTGTGTTTGTTTCTGGAGCCCCATGGGGGGAGGGGGGGCATAGCGTGAAGCATGTCATACAAGTGCATTAATTGAGGGTTTGCTGAAATCAGATCTATTGGGACTGAATGATGGAAATATGTGTAAATCACAGTATGATGTGATAACAGCCTTTTAAGGACAGGAAATTATGAATCTATTTAGATTTCTATATAATAGTTTTTGAAAATGTTTCTTTTTGGTTTAGAGATTTACAGAGTGTTTAGCTGCACAGCACAATCGGCGCCGACTGACACAGAAAGTAATGCGGGCGTGGTTTGCTCTGATACAGAAGAACTGGAAAAACAGGATTCAGAAAATGTGTGATAAGCAAGCTCAAGATGTTTGCAGACAGCTCAGTATAGACTACGAGGACAAAATAAAAGCAGTGAGTCGTAACTGTAAATAATCATTGTAACAACTGTCTTTTGCTTCTTCCCCATTTGCCCTTCTTCTTGAGACAAAGGTTCTCTGTTGTGTATTAGTCCAGCTGTTTGGCTCACCCTCTGAAGGTCATGGGTTCGTTTTATGGCTGCGAGGTTCAGTTCAGAGGTGCAGTTATTATGTAGACCCTGTAGGAATCATCACCAGAGCTACGGTGGTTGTGCTTTGTGTGATGCTCTCAGTGATTCTGTAGAGAGAGACCAAGCTATATGGGATAAAACCCCTCGCAATGAAGTCGATCCTCTCAACTTCAAACTGTAATAAAGATGTCAATATATTGCGCTTATCACAAGAGAATGCGAGACATAGAATCAACAAACAGGCACTGCAACTGGAAACATATGGACTGAGGAAACAGAGAACTTCAAAGAGAAGCCCTAAGACAAATTTTGTTAAGAGAGACTAAAGATACTCAGCTGGATTCCATCAATGCTGTTGAAAGGATTGCACAGAACAGAATGGAGATGAAAGAATCTGTTTTTTTTTTTCAATATAAACTCGATTTGTGTGAAAATAAAAGCCAGAACTTTCTGTCTCAAATTATTAGAAAAATCCCAAGCACTAAAATAATGTTCACTTATGACTGTGTCCACAGTTAAACGATGAAATCGAAAATATGAACAGGAAATTGAAGATCATGCAAAATGAAAAGGAACAATATGCCATGCAAGTCAAGAAAGCATTTATGCGTGGTGTATGTGCTCTGAACATGGAGACTATGTCAGCATTCTCACATGAGGACACACAGATCAGTCCAACCAGTGGTAAGTTGTACATTTTCATTTATAAACTTAAATCTGTCCAGTCAGTTGAATGTTGTTTTTATACAGAAATCAGTCCAATCGGTGATAAGCTGTACATTGTCTTTTAGATATAGATGGATCCGGTCAGTGAAAAGTTGTAAATTATCACTTATACACAGATCAGTCCAGTAAGTGAAAAGTTGTAGATTATCCCTTATACACAGATCAGTCCAGTAAGTGACAAGTTGTAGATTATCACTTATACACAGATCAGTCCAGTAAGTGACAAGTTGTAGATTATCACTTATACACAGATCAGTCCAGTTAGTGAAAAGTTGTAGATTATCACTTATACACAGATCAGTCTGTAGAATATCACTTGCACACAGATCAGTCCAGTCAGTGACAAGTTGTAGATTATCACTTATACATAGATCAGTCCAGTCAGTGATAAGTTGTAGATTATCACTTATACATAGATCAGTCTGTAGAATATCACTTGCACACAGATCAGTCCAATCAGTGACAAGTTATAGATTATCACTTATACACAGATCAGTCCAGTCAGTGATAAGTTGTAGATTATCACTTATACACAGATCAGTCCAGTCAGTGATAAGTTGTAGATTATCACTTATACATAGATCAGTCTGTAGAATATCACTTGCACACAGATCAGTCCAATCAGTGACAAGTTGTAGATTATCACTTATACACAGATCAGTCCAGTCAGTGATAAGTTGTAGATTATCACTTATACACAGATCAGTCCAGTCAGTGACAAGTTGTAGATTATCACTTATACACAGATCAGTCTGTAGAATATCACTTGCACACAGATCAGTCCAGTCAGTGACAAGTTGTAGATTATCACTTATACACAGATCAATCCAGTCAGTGACAAGTTGTAGATTATCACTTATACACAGATCAGTCTGTAGAATATCACTTGCACACAGATCAGTCCAGTCAGTGACAAGTTGTAGATTATCACTTATACACAGATCAGTCCAGTTAGTGAAAGGTTGTAGATTATCACTTATACACAGATCAGTCCAGTCAGTGAAAAGTTGTAGATTATCACTTATACACAGATCAGTCCAGTTAGTGACTAGTTGTAGATTATCCCTTATACACAGATCAGTCCAGTCAGTATCAAGTTGTAGATTATCACTTATACACAGATCAGTCCAGTTAGTGAAAAGCTGTAGATTATCACTTGCACACAGATCAGTCCAGTTAGTGAAAGGTTGTAAATTATCACTTATACACAGATCAGTCCAGTCAGTGATAAGTTGTAGATTATCACTTATACACAGATCAGTCTGTAGAATATCACTTGCACACAGATCAGTCTGTAGCATATCACTTGCACACAAATCAGTCCAATCAGTGACAAGTTGTAGATATCACTTATACACAGATCAGATTGTAGAATATCACTTGCACACAGATCAGTCCAGTCAGTGACAAGTTGTAATTTTTATACACAGATGAGTCCAGCAGCTATAGATAAGTCGTGCACCTACTGTTTACTTAGTTAATACACACATAACAATGGTAGGTTATGCATTGTCATTTAGTATGTCAGCTCCATATTTATTTATCTATAGACCAGATGACATTCAGTATATGATGTGGTCATATATGTTTTTGCACCTAGGAACATTTTCTGGTACCCATTTTCAGCTGGGTCATTGACAAATCTCTGCTTCAAAAAGGGTTTGTAAATATGAAGACTCAAAAATCAGCATCCCTTTGTGGGTTCTTATGTCCCCTTTTGGGGAGATATAAAGAATAGACCCACAGTTTCTCAATCAACATGTTGTAAAAGTCAGTTAATCAAGTGTTTGCTGAAAACAAGTTTTTCAGGCCAAAAGGCTGAGCTATCACAGCCTACCTGTACACTACAAGACAGTGTGCTATATTCCATTTTAAGTGTGATGCTGAAAAAGACGAAAATCCAAAAAATCATGCAAGAGGTTTAGACTTGAGTTGGTTAAGATTCTGTACTCCACTGGAAGATGAAAAGCAGAACTATTGATAACCCAAAAGCACCTTAGAAATTGTTTCAGCAGTTGGACTCACAGCCAGCTTGGGACCAGCAATGACTGTAATACTTAAAAGGAGATATCTATGTGACTGTGTACTGTCACCATTACTTTTCATAACATACATGGATAAGATCACTGTAGAAGCAAACCCAGACGTGTATGCTATAAACGAATTACTTTTTGCCGATGATCAAAGCATACTGTATCAAAATGAATATGATCTACAGGAACATCTGACTACTCTCAACAACAGCTGTTTACAACATAATATGAGAATCAGTACAGAAAAAACAGAAGTTATGAAGATCAGCAGAACACACAGGCCACTGAATATAAATGTTGGAAGTGCCAAAATCAAGCAAACCAAAGAGTTCAAATACTTGGGCAGTATATTTACAGAGGATGGAAGAATGGACAGAGAGATAGAAACAAGAATACAGAAAGCAAATGCTGTCACATACCAACTATCACCTCTGCTTAAACATCCAGATATAACCATGAAGACCAAAAGACAATTGATAAACACCATCTTCATTCCAACACTCTGCTACCAGTGCCAGACATGGACAATGTGACATTAAAGATAACCGTATAATACCATTATTTTAATTTTTCCCTGTCAAACTTCAGATGTTGGAGATAATTCAAATGCCTGCAACATTAACAGTAATCTGGAGTCAAACTGTCCGGAAAAAGATGACCTACAAATAAAGCATGTGTCTGCAGATTCAGGCATGACAGATTTGCATTTTGGTGGCGGGCACTTTTCTTCTCTAGCAGTTGTGGGAACTAGCCATCCACAGCAGGTATATAGGCATAATGTTGTAGCATCTTGTTTGTACATATTTTCCTGTGTCATTTGTATTGTTGTATATAATATGTGAGATACCTGTATGGGCTTCAGGGCCCCATTTTGGGGGGTGGGGGGATATACCCACTGCCCCCCAACAATCGATGTCATTAAACGTTAAAGTTGACTAGTGGGTGTTACCTTTGAAGTCAGAGTGCATTTGCCTGAGAGGTGAGGAACCGACAGTCTGCATACAGATAAGCCAGATCTGTAAAATGGATTTGCATGCAAAAAACTCAAGTACTGGAACAAGATTAAGGTCCAGAAGTGGATGAACAACCAGAACTTTCCATTGAAGTTTACAGACCATAGGCACTAGGTGGGTAATGTGGTCAGCATTACGTCATTGAAGTTTACAGCTGGTGAAGAATATATGAGAGGGCTTCTTCTGCAGCAATCAACATTTTCTATGTACTTTTTCCAGAATGCCTCCCCTTTCTCCCAGGTAATTGCTTATACCTTCTGTGACTTAAAAAAAAGGCTAGACTATCCTTCATTTTATCTTCTTGCAGAGCATATCCAAGCCACAGAAAGGAAAGACACGACCATCTACTGCTCCAAGTGCCTCTTCCTTCCAGGTGAAAGCCTGGGGAACCAGCCAGCCACTGGCGCCACCTATGGCGTCTGTTGTTGTAGAAAGACATGACCCTGTCACAAAGGTTAGAAATGTTCCGAGTTATTTAATGTGTTAATGGTTGACCGACTGTGAATACTCTGGAACAATCTTTCCCACTTGATGGTTTACGTACCCCTGGAGGTAAATTTTAAGGGGTCAATGTTATCCATTTTAGAATGCAATCCTTTTTGTCATTCTGATATTTAATTTTTAAGTTCTTCGGTGAGACTGTTATAAAGTATGGGGTCTGGGCCAGACCGTCGAAAATAAGAGGCGTCTGCACAGTATAACCATATTGTCTGGAAAGACAAACAGGTATCAACCATTATCTCCTCTGTTTATCTTCAGTGCCTAATTAATAGGATGATTCCAGTTTAATTTGGATAGTTATTGCATCTTTTTCTTCTTCTGCCTTTTATCTCCACTTCTTTCAAGGTCGGAGCTAAGAGGCAAAGAACCAACTGTCTGCATACATATAAACAGATGTGCATGCAAAATTCAAGTTCTGGAACAAGACTCAAGTCCAGATGTGGATGAAATATCAGAGTTTTCTACCAGAGTTTACAGCATGTGAACACCAAGCCCCTCTATCAGTTCATACCAACTTCTTTGTTATCTTGTTCATGGCTGGTTGGTTTCTGCAGCTAAAGCTCTAAGCTTGCTTGGTTAGTCACTTTTTTGTTGACCTGTTTGTGGTTGGTTGGGTTTCTGCAGCTAAAGCTCTAAGCTTGCTTGGTTAGTCACTTTTTTGTTGACCTGTTTGTGGTTGGTTGGGTTTCTGCAGCTAAAGCTCTAAGCTTGCTTGGTTAGTCACTTTTTTGTTGACCTGTTTGTGGTTGGTTGGGTTTCTGCAGCTAAAGCTGCTTGGTTAAGCTTGCTTGGTTTTAGTTTCTGCAGCTAAAGCTCTTTTTGTTGTCACTTTGTTTGTGGTTTGTTGGGTTTCTGCAGCTAAAGCTCTAAGCTTGCTTGGTTAGTCACTTTTTTGTTTTTTGTTGACTGCAGCTGTTTGCTTGCTTGTTGGTTGGGTTTCTGCAGCTAAAGCTCTAAGCTTGCTTGGTTAGTTACTTTTTTTTTGTTGACCTTTTGTTCCAGAACTTTTTGTTTTTTTAACCAGTCTGAAGGATATAGTCTACATTCTTTGGTCATATGAGATGGAGCAAACTGGTGTACATCATGACAACAAAAACATTGGAGAGGGAAGGAGAGAGAAGATGCTGGAAGATCATCTATGTCAAAATTGACTGAGGTACATGAGACAGAAGGCTGTGGATGGGACATGACTATCAGTGCCGCACGACATGGACTGTAATTAATATATTTGGTATAGTATTTTTTTCCCCACTGATTTTTTAAAATTTAAAGCTATTGTGCATTGTTCTTTCTTTCTCGACAGCAGCAGACTGTTGGCAAGGCTACAGCCAGTCGTTATCCCAAACACAGCACATGCAAGGGTTCCAGTAGCCACACCAAGCAGAAGCATGTATCAAAGTCACTCCCAGGTTCTCAGATGTTCCACACATTCCAACCCCTGGCAGGACAAACATCCAGCTTGATGACACCACCTGGCATCAAAGTTGTTGAATAATCCCCATTGCCTGATAGAATTGCTAGTTGAACGTTATTTTTTTTTTAAATATATACCTGTGAAATTGTGTACAAAAGTTGAGAATGTTGGAGAAATTGTGATAAAACAGCAAAGGGTTATGTAAAAATGATGCCGTCCTACACTGTCACAGCAGTAAATGTAGTGACATTCTGAGAATTAATCATTCTTGCCTCTTCTTTTTTTTTTAATCGCCCAGTGTATGTACTGAGAGGAATCACTCTCAGTATACCTCTACACTGACTTGAAGTCACAGTCATCCATGCCTTGCTGGTTTTTGAACTTAAAGAAGGGAAGGAGAGTTTTGCAACATAGTTCACTTAGAGATGATACTGCATCGCCTTTTTCAGAGCTCCGACAAATGGAACACCAGTGCAGCAGACGTAAATTCAAATTGGAGAGCATCATTTTCAGTTAGCTCTGCATTCATGTTTTCTATGATCCCTAACAATCATCACCATCATAATGGGGAATCTTTTCCAATGAACAGTTGAAATGAGTTCTTCACTATATTCCATCACTGACCAAGTAAACAGACTAGATCTACCACGAGGGGAAGTCAATCAGTAAGTCACAAATGGTTGTTAAAAAATAAATTTCAGATGATAACAACTTGAAAAAAAATTATTTTTACATATGCACTGTCCCTTTATTTTTCAACATAATTTCCACCAACATTGATGCACTTGTCCCATCGTTTTATCAGTCCTCCCACATTTTCCCTTCACATTTAACTTCGTCATTCGTGAAATGTCTTCCACCAAGGTGGGTTTTCAGAGGACCAAAAAAAAGTGGATATCGCTAGGGGCTAAGTCGGGTGTGTAAAGTGAATGTTCCAGAAGATTCCACCCTAGATGGTTAATTTGCTCCTGAGAACCGAGCCATATATGGTCTGGCATTGTCGTGAAGGAGCAGTACTCCTCTAGTCAGCAGGCCTGGACCCTTTCTGTGAACTGCATCATGAAGCATCAATAGAACTTTACAGTATGAATGAATCAGGATTCACATTGTCATCCTTGACAGTCCCAGAACACTGTCAGCATAACCTTACCTGCTGATGGCGTAACCTTGAATTTTTTAACACAAGGCGAAGAAGGATGTTTCCATTGCACTAAAGCAAGCCTTGATTCTGGCTGTTTTGTCCCTAGTAATAATCCTGTTCAGCATATCTTCTCCTTATGGACAGAGATACTGCAACGACAGGCCTAATTGGTTCATTTTGTATTTATCCGTCAGTTGTCTGTGTACCAACCTTAAGCACACTTTCTTAAATTTTAATCAAGCATGCATTACGTTGTACGCTGAACCATGTGAGCATCCTATTGCAGCTGCTACAGAGTCACCTGTTACTTTTACTGTCACCTCTAATCATCTCCTCCACCTGCTGCATTGATGCATCTGTTGCAATCTCAACAGGATGACCAGATCAGATTTCAGCAACAATCGCACAGCATCCTTGAGAAAAATCCCTTTACGAGATAAACATTTGTCATCATAAACAGAAAGCATTTCCTTGTGAATGTCTTTTACAGGCAGCCCTTTCGCCACCCCCCCCCCCCCCCCCTAAAAAAAATGCACAACAGCATTCTGTTTTTTGAGGGTGCACTCCATAAGTATAGTGACAATTTTGTTTCTGTGTTGCGAATGCAACACCTAGTGCCATCTTATGAAACATAAAGTTTGATGCTGCTGATACCTTCAGAAACTACCAACTACATTTTCCTGCTATCCAATAACCATTTGTGACAACTTATTGACTTCCCCTCGTATATTGTATGGTGAATACTGCAAGCATTTTTATGTCTCTGAATTAGCAGAATTCACAGGCCCCAAAAAAAAACAGTTGATTTACTGTATATAGAAAATAGTGTCCAGAACAGTCCAGGTCGAAAGGTGGAGGAGTCTTTTGAATCACAGAAGTAAAAAAAATTTTTTAGGAAAAGAACGCCTATTTATAATAAGTTGATCAGTGTATGCATGGAAGAAGTGTTTTATAACATATTATTTTACCCACGTCGTGACATTTGCTACCGTATATTGACATTTTAACTTGTTCTAACCAACTTAGTCTATTTTTTAATTAAATTAAAATGTAAATATGTCTTGTGTTCCGACTCTCATTTATATATATTGCACTGTTAACTGTTTATGACAAGCACAACCTTTGTCAGAAAATTTTTAGTTTCTTATTTGAAAATTGCATATCCTTTACACGACATTACAGAACCAATCCCAACATTTTATGTTCAGTAGTTTGCCACTGCTTTCTAAAGATCATCTCTCTGTACCTAGTTAAAACCAATTCAAGATAAAAACTGGCACTACAGCGTATATGAAAATAAGGAGGCGGGAGAGACCGAGTTTCTTTCATGCAGACCGTGATGAGAGTGACGTTCGGCAAAGGACTTGCAACATGGATGATGATGTGTAGGTCAGGATTTGTGATTACTTTTTGTTTTGTTTTTGTTAATCCGCTAGAGACAAAATGTTTAACTGAGGTTAACTAAGAAAGCAGTATGAACCAATGCTAACTTGGAATTTACAACAAACTGTGCAAGGAATGAATGTGAAATCATAAGTTATCATTAACCAATGTTTATTCACTGTCCATCAAAAATATGAAAAACAAATGTTTCACAACAAAACATGTATCAAACATCATTCTTTTTTGTCCATCTGTCAAAACTCAACTTTTCAATTCACTATAGATGTAACATACAGAAACACAATCAGCTATTCAGGCCAAAATATCCCCACCTATTTTTATTTGGCCACCTCACATAACACCATGGGATCTATCACATCCATTCATTTATTTATATACTCAACATCCATTCATTTATCTATAACATCCGTTCATTTATCTGTGGTCATCCATAACATTCATTCATCTGTATAACCAGAATTGGTTCATCTCTTACACTTTTCCTTACAATATGTATATACCAGAACAGATTCCTGTCTTCTCTTACACTTTACTCTTACAATCACATAGAACAAGACAGCAGCACACCAGAGAGGACAATTAGTTGATCTCAGCCCACACCAGAAAGAGGCCTTACTCCTCCTGGAACCAGAAGAGGACAATCTACTTTAGAATAATGATAACAGAACAGACAGCCCACACCAGAAGAGGACAATCTACATTTTAGAATAATGATAACAGAACAGACAGCCCACACCAGAAGAGGACAATCTACATTTTAGAATAATGATAACAGAACAGACAGCCCACACCAGAAGAGGACAATCTACATTTTAGATGAAACAGAACAGAGCCCACCCAGAAGAGGACAATCTACATTTTAGAATAATGATAACAGAACAGACAGCCCACACCAGAAGAGGACAATCTACATTCTTTGGTCATGTCATAAGAAGGAGAACGTTGGAACCCACTGTGATAATGGGAAGTTGGAGGAGAAAAAAGGCAGAGGCAGACACAGAGGGTAGATGCTGAACAGCTTAAAATATGGCATGGAAGATCACCCATGTCAGTACTGACTGAGAGTATTTGAGATAGAAGGTTGTAGATAGACATAACCACCAGAGCCACACGGTATAAGACTAAGAATAATCATTCTGATAAAGTTTACCTGTACAGAAATAGTATTTCCATTTTCCGCAAGCAAGGTTAGCACTGCCTATATAATAAAAACATCTCGGGGAGGGGGGAGATGGTATACATGTCTGCCTCTAGCTCTAAGCAGATCTGGCTTTTTCTTGCTATTCCTTAAAAATTATCAACATTTCTATGGAGCTAGTTTGACTCTCTCACTTGCGAGAAGAAGAAAAAAAAAAAACCAAGATCCTGCCAGTGCTAGTGACTGAATCCAGCCCATTATGAAGCAAAAACACTAGCCACTCTTTTTCCTGAGCTTCTTCTACTTTTTGTGCGTCCCAGCAACATAACTGCCTTGTGTCGGTTTGCAGCAAAACTGCTATATTTGCACCTTTCATCCAACACATCTGACAGTTGTTGACTGGGTTACCTTCGCATGGGCTTTTCCTTCTGTGGTGGCTGACATGTTGTTTTGTGGTCTGAAGCTAGTATGCAATATCTACATCTTTCAGACCAAACACATCTGATGTTAGCAAAAGCTTCATTAGTCACCTTTTACATCATGTTTGTGGTCTCCACCCCCCCCCCCCCCCCCATTCTTTCTCAGAATGAGACCCAGAACTTCTACCTTTAAAAGTTTGTAATAAGAATGTGTGTTGGCCACACCAACTGAAAGGGTACCACACAAGTGCAGGGACTAGCTCGCCTTGCCTTACCATGGCAGTGACTGTGTGTTTTGAGTTCCATTTATGGCAATAATTTATTTACAGTGATTGAGGATCTCTGAGAAGAATACAGGGAATTAAATGGTATTACAGAATCAATGATGTGGAGTTTTTGGGAGAACTAAACCAATTCTAGTGAGTCCAGAAATGAAGTAAAGATTCTAGCATTAGAAAGGACACACTTAAGAAAACCTGAGAACAATATAACTAGAAGGGTTTTACAGTGGAACCCACAGGGTCAGAGAAATAACAAACGGGGAAAAAAAAGACAAGGAGAAGGGAACTTGAGGGTACAGAGAAAAAGATGGGGTGAGTGACATGCAACAGCAAGGGACAGTATTACTTGGCATTATCTGGTCGAAAGCATATGGGTGATAAAGTGCAGAAGAAGAAGATATGGGTGATAAAGTGCAGAAGAAGAAGATATGAGTGATAAAGTGCAGAAGAAGAAGATATGGGTGATAAAGTGCAGAAGAAGAAGATATGGGTGATAAAGTGCAGAAGAAGAAGATATGAGTGATAAAGTGCAAAAGAAGAAGATATGGGTGATAAAGTGCAGAAGAAGAAGATATGGGTGATAAAGTGCAGAAGAAGAAGATATGAGTGATAAAGTGCAGAAGAAGAAGATCTAGGATCCCAGGTTGCCCAAGACTACAGTTTTTGGTCTGTCTAGTTTCAAATGAAGGATTTATCTTTTACGATGGAGATATGCTCCTGCAACATGGCACCTGAAAATGCTGAACTTGTGTTCCAAGACTGTAAAATGTACACTGACGGAGAAGCCTTCTGCAAAACTCCACCGTGCGAGCAGTTCTTTATCTTCACCCCATGGTATGTGATGGTTGTGGGCACTAAAAGAGCTGACAGATTGCTGGTTCTGCCCTAGTTACAAATGGCCCGTGTATTGATCACACTGATAGTTTAAACGCCTTTAGAGAGACCTTATGATGAGAGGATTTTGTGAGCAGCGATTGGCACAGCCAGGCATGAGAGGCACACTGGACATACAAGAAGTCTTGTTAACCAGCACAGGATTGGCACTATTAACCGCGGGACGCTGATTATATATATGCTGAAGGGGCAATCTGAGCACCTATGGACATGTCCGGACAACTGTGAAGATAACCCATCCTATGACTCTGAGAAGCCAGCTAACCTTTCCAGTGACAACAAAGCTGTATGGTATAGAGGGTAATAAAGACTGCACAATAACTTTCATAAAGTCTACCGGTCTCCAGACATAAATACGGTGACAGAAAAAATTATAATGAGTGTCTACAAATGATTCAATTTAATTTTTAAAGACTGTACTGAGACCCTCAACAACTATTCATATATAAAGTGTCACCACAACATTTCAAAAACTAGAACATTATGCACCTACCATTGTAATGTTATTCCCGTTTAACAACAGCTTGTCCAGTTTTGTCACTCGTCTACCTTCTGGTGTGCTTTCACTGGACGGAAACAATAAACATTATTATGTGGCAATAAATCAATGCAAAGCGACAAAGAAAGTAGGTCAATCGCCTTCCAACATGCAGCATGGCTCCTAAGGAAGTAATCTTAATGACGATCAAGAAGTGACGTGCGTAATCAGCGGTACACCCATGTGTTCTTTTGTGTTATTGACAAGATTCAGCTGCACAACAGAAACACCTGTGTGACGAGACCCCAGATGACCCCCGTAGAGTGTAAGGAAGGTAAAGGACCAAAACAGATTTAGAAGGGGTTTCTTTTGACAATCTAAGACTCCTGCTGTGCCTTCTCCCCCACATATATCTTCTAATACATACATGCAATGTGATCTGCTAGGGGTTTTATTCAACTCGTCACATTGTTATAATAATGTTCTTAGGTACACACAGTTGCTAAGAATCCGCCAGACGACGAACATTCAGTTATTGATCTTTATTTGCTGTTACACCAACCGCACTGTCCACGCGCCTCTTGTGTTCTCGTGGTCGCTACGCATGGCTGATTCCTGATGACCTAGTCAACTATACACGGTGATTCTCTCTGCCATTACCTTTCGGATCGTACATCTGGATCATACTAATGTATTGTACCTGGTACTTGTACACAATTGAATTTTGCAATCAGGAAATATTCGTTTCTGCTCTCGAACAAGTACACGTGGTCAGACGTTCTGCATTCTCATCAGCTGTTCTCTCACATTCAACCGCACATATCCAGGTTCGAACTTCAACTGCCTTCCTAACCTCTCTGGGTTCCCATCTTCCGTTCCAGTCTAACGCTTTCCTCGTATCCTTATTCACTCCCCACGGAAACTCGAGACCTGCTTATCTCGCTTCTCTCCTGTTTCCCTGGTCCTCTGACCTTGTCCACCCCATCAGGAACTCTCTGGGATTTCCCCGGGAATTCACATTACAATACAATTCACATCAACATGAAGTTAGTCCAAGGACGTGTTTAAATCACTAACTCACTTGGTTCCAGCAGTTAGTAGTAAGAATTAAGTAAAGGACAATTTTTCTACCAGTGGCAAACGATGTTTGACAAATCTTGTTGTTTTAAATAGATGAATCTTAACTCCATGGTGATGTGATCAACATCATTCCGGCCAACTTTACTGAACAGTTAAATGTCTGGTACCCATTTTGAGCTGGGCTGACCTGGGAGCCAAGGTCAATTCTGAAAACACCCAATGTGATGCGGATTGAAACCGAAGACTTATGACTTACAGGAGAGCTTTTTGCCACTATGTCACCAAATCTTTCAAGATGGTTATTACAAAGTTTGAAATTTTCAAACCTAATCTCGCAATCTAAATCAGTTGAAATAATGCAGTTAAATAGAATGTGCTCAAATAACTAAGTAAAGTCAGTAAAGAACCCCTTTTATACAGTAATGCATCAGGCAAATCTTCTTCTTTCTTTTTCACGTTGACCAGCTGTAAACTCTGGTAAAAAGTTATGGATGTTCGTCCACTTCCGGACTTTAGTCTTGTTCCAGAACATAAGTGCTGTGTGCACATCTGTTTCACACATATGGCTTATCTGTATGCAGACAGTTGATTCCTTGCCTCTCAGGCATATGCACTCAGACTTCGAAGAATGCCCCCAATTGGTCGAGGCCTATGACATGCATGTTGGGGAGGCAGTGGGCCAATTCTTGTTCTTCCCCAGACCCCACACCCATTGGGCATGAGGCAAATGATGCTAGACTTTTTTTGTGTCAGCAAACAATAGGTGATATGATCAACAGCATGCTGGCTGCCTTTACTTCCCAGGAATTTTATGATAACCATTTAAGGCTGGGCGAAAAGACAATCAATCTTGTTCAAGAATTGTTTTAGTTTTCTTAAAGACGGTGGTCATTTTATAAATTAATATCTCTTTTTTTTTTTAAATCTAGTAACTAGATCTTTCTACCCTGTAGTAACACTTTTCCAACCTGGATATCAAAATAAGAAACCACCAAAGTTGCACTCTTGCATAATCCTTGGCTAGCGGATTAGATGCCTGACATTCTTTGACAATGTGTGGCTGAGTGATTACGCTCCCTGCATTGAACTCAAAAGCTACAGGGCTCAAATCCCACAATACAAAATGACTACAGTTTCGGAAATTGCGATCTTATCGACAATTTCCGTTACCAGAAACCGTTTTTTTTTTTTTTCATGAAATTTTGGGATTGGTGTGATTTTCACCCCACTCTAAATGGCTGAAAAAAGCCATTGGTATCTGATGTCATGTGTCCCTCCAATCTCCTGGGTAGGGAGATCAGACGCTTATTCTAGTGTACAAACTGCACACTTAAAAATCCATCTAGACTTGTGTAGGGTTTCTGGCTAGGAGTGCAGATCAACAACTGATTCATGACAACTGATGTGATTATCTGTACAGATGGCTGTGTGATAAGAAGCAGAAGAAGTTAAAAAGCGATGGATGCCGGCCGCTTGATACCACAAAGCCTAGTATGTATACAATACCACAAAATCTAGTTTCAGAATGGAGGTGCGATGGGGCCTTGTACTGAATCTATGCAGAAACTTTACACAAATGCTGGAGTCAGACAGGCTGAACTTTCACACTCCTTTTGAAAGAGCAACAAGGGTCAAAATATGTTTTCTAAATACATAATTTAACCAAAACACTTTGCATTTTTTAACAAAAAACAAAATACTTACAACTCTGTGACATCCTCAAGAACCATGTCTGGCACCAACGTCAAGGAAAAACATTCACAAAAAGCAGATTTAAAATAAATAAAAATAATGACATCATTAGTCGCAACTTTCTCCTTAGCAGATAACCTTTTCCACCTCTGTCAATACTTTAGCTGGTATTTCACGCTAGACTCAACAAACAGCAAAAATACGAATTCCATGCCTTCAGAGGTCAAGCACTAACCCAATATTATTTGATGGACAAACAACAGAGTAAGAGAGTGCACATCCATGACAAACGACAGAGTGTTAGATCTCCCTAGCAGGCAACATGATTAACACACTGACCATTGTCAGTAACGAACCTGGCAGACTGTGTCTTCTGCGGCAATGTGTTTTTATTGTTTACTTAGCATACAACCACACACTAAATTCACAAATTATGTTTGGAAAAAAAGGATACTGACAAAATCGTCAAACCCTAAAAGAATTCCAACAATCTCTTTATCGTTCTTCATGATGATGTGAATTCTGGATCCAATACACTTGTCCACCAACTCTGAAACAACACCCAGAGAAAGAGCTTCAGAAATGCATCTCCCACATTTTTACCCGCACAATATGTCGGTCATAAAAAGGATCTGTTTAATTCCTCATGTATAATCTGGCATCTTTAAAAGTGTAGTCAGTGTGATTAACATGATTAGAAGTAATATTACATATGTACGGTACAAAACTGTTTTTGCAGTTAGTGAAAAATTTTGACAACGGGCCACAATTCAGAAACATTTCTTTTTTTTTAAATCTTCAGACTCATGCAAAATAGGATGTAATATTATTATTATATTTTTTTGCAGTCAGCATCTGTTCATTTATGCATGCCTTTTTTTCTATGCATGTACGAGCACGTCTGAAGATATGTGAGGCATGGATGGAGCTGCAGGAAAAAGGCTCTGTGTAAGTTGCCCATGGGCCCATGTTTCAACTGTGATAAAATATAATTGTTTTGTTGACCAGTTTTTGTTTTCATATAGATAACAGCTTTTTTTCTGGCGACTACCGCCACCGCCAAGAGTGTCTCACACGCCGCTACGCGGGGGGTGGAGCAAGGCTAAGCTTGTGATTGAGGCCATGTTAGGGTGTGTTTTTGGCCGTCACAATATATGAGCATGTTATTCGGAGGATAGCCAATTTATCAATTCTAACTGAATTGGCAATTCAGTGTTAGTTAATATCATGATGATTTTCTAACTGAATTTTCCAATTTTGTTTTTGACAGTACAAACCACGGATACCTGATATAGCGACTACGGTGTTCGACAATTTGCGGTCTTTTTGGGCAATTTCCGTTACCCGGAAACCGTTCGAAACTTGTTTCGCAAATGTCGGCTGGGGTTTCGGGATGAGTCCTAATCTCTCATGAAATTTTGCGATTGGTGTGATTTTCACCCACTCTAAATAGCTGAAAACGGCGGGAAGGAACTTGATTAACGGCGCATGTCTACGACAGCCGGACGTCCTCTGTTTTTCTGTTACATCAGTTTGATTGAAAATAGCGAAAAGGATTCAGGGTTGGCTTTAGGCTTTAAAAATTACTCGTACTGGTAATGCTAGTTATAATTGAATTCTCCGTCCAATTTTACATTTACAAATTTCTTTCTGTACAGTGGCTTTTTAAATTTACAGTGACATTTTTTAGGCTGTGTCTCATTGTCTGCCATCTAGGCTTTGCCAAAAATTGCGCATGCGCAGAGAAAACCTTATTTTCTGGGTCACAAGACAGCTGACATCTACTAAAACTAAAGTATGTAAAGCCTAAATAGGACTTGAATACAGCTATCTAATGAAATGGATGGTGCAGAGGGCATTTTAAAAATTTGACTGAAGTAGCTACCTGATACCAAACCAATGTACCGAACACTAACACAATATGCAGGCTACAAAATCTCTGCTTCTATCTAGGCTTTGAATTGACTGTGACAGACTTACTAAAAGTAGTAGTAAAGATAGACTTGATGTCTTGATATGAAGAAATGCAGGTCCAAATGAGGTTAGTTGGATTGAATTTTTACAAATTATTACAAATATTTGACTAAAGTACCTAGCACTACTAGTACAAGGTTCTCAATGCAAAACTATGTAAGATTTATATTATTTTTGCTTTCATATGCAAAGTGAAAATATAAGAAACTTACCGAGTGGTAAAAGTTGCGTTGGGTTTGCGAACGTGCCCGCCATTTTGCAATAAGGAAAACACAACTCTTTTCGTATCAACACGGATACCGTACCATCTGATGATTTTTTTTTTTTTTATTACTCCAAATCTCAATGGTAAAACACAAGAGTCAGCTCTTTCAGTTCTCCGTGTTGGTTCTATGGGTACAATTATGGTGAGAAAAGAGAGAATAGACCCACTGTATCCCTAATCAACATGTCGTCGAATACCCAAGGACGAACATAAAAGAAGCAGAAGAGGAACCAGAGATTTTTCTGGTGGTACTTAGCACCAAAGGCGTTGCGAAAGCTCTTGCTAATTCCAAGGTGCCAGGTTCGATCCCAGCTGCAGGCTGTTAGACAGCAGATGGGAGTGACGTAGTGTAGCGGATAGACACTCGTATGCGGATCGGAGGGTCGTGGTTTCAGGTCCTGACGGTACTTTGGCTCCCAGGCCGACACAGCCTTGAGTGCGTACCAGGTGGAGGTCTGGGACCAACGTGATGCTGACCACATCACCCACTTAGTGCTGATCGGTCTATAAAAAACATAGATCTAGCCTTGTATGCCCAATGCCGAAGGTGTAGAAAAGGGTCCTTTATGTATGTGTGTGTGTGTGTGTGTGTTCAGGTAGTTTTTTCGCACTGCCTTAACGGGTGTGTATGAATAATTTAGCCATTTTTGATCGTCTCATGCATGAGTTATGAACTGGATTATCTTCAAAGCACTCCAGACAAATTCATAGGTGCCCAGATTCCCTCTTCAACATATTTATCACCATCGCGCGGTCAAAAATGCCAGTCCTATGCTGGTTGACAAGACTTCTTCTGCATCCATTGTGTCTATAATGCTTGGCTTTGCTGATCTGTACTCCCAATTCTCGTACTATTAGAAATGATGTGGACACTGTTGCTTCCAAAACCTTGAAACGTCCTCCCTCTGGGGCAACGGTTCTCAATCTGCGGGTCGCGACTCTTTTTGGGGGTGGAACGACTTTTTCACATGGGCCGCCTAAGACCACCGGAAAACACATATTTGTTGAGGTTATGAAGGAAAATAATTGTTTGTGGGTGGCCACAACATGCGGGAACTGTATTAAAGGGTCGTGGCATTAGGAAGGTTGAGAGCCACTGTTCTAGGGCATTGTCAATGTCTGCCTGATTCATAAGCTGGCAATCTGCGCCTAATGCAGAATCTTTAATCTATAAAGGTAAAAATAACGTCGGGAGTTGTGAACCATTGCACACGTTTATAAAACAAAAGTGCTCTGCCATAAGTACAGACAGCTGATAAGAAACTGTCTGCCTGTCCGCACGTAACTCCGTAGCTAGAGCGACGTTCTTCCATTCACCCCAGAGTATCAACTCTGGTACCCATTTCCTAGAGGCTGGGTGAACCCCGGGACCCGCCTAGTTTCGAACACTGACCGTGGATGCAGCGAGTCGCAGATGGCTTTGAAAGCGAGCCTCCTATCGACTGCGCTAACGCGGCTCCCATCTTTAATCTATCAGAGCTTCCATTGCCGACGACCACTGCACTGCCTGGGACAAATATGAAGATAACTGCACATGCGGGAGAGTTTTGCAGTGACTTATCCACTGTCTATGTAAGGTGCATGTCTCGACCGGCCGGATCATGCTCATAGAATCATTCAGCACACATGCACGCGGGAATAGTCCTGTGATTCTAGCCACATGAAAGCTTGTCACCGCCGACAACCTCCATCGTCATACTGCTTTGTAGTCGTGGTGAAGATACCTCTGGCTTCCTGAACTGTTTTGCATGCAGAGCGAGCTGTAAATGCCCATGCACTCTTATGCCCACGTATAACGGACCAATTGATGTAGATCAACACAACTGTCTCATCTTACTTCTTGTTGACCTTGGTTTTAAATTAGCTCTGTTGCCTTGTACGTTTAGTTTCTAGTCATAGTTTCTGCTGTATTTAGTGTTCCGTTAATAAAGACTTTGGTCGAAACGTAAAGGAAATTACAGACGAAAGATAACTCAGTCCACTAACACATTGGCACTAATGTAAAGGAAATTACAGAGGGAAGATGACTCAGTCCACTAACACAATGGCACTAATGTAAAGGAAATTACAGAGGAAAGATGACTTAGTCCACTAACACAATGGCACTAATGTAAAGGAAATTACAGAGGAAAGATGACTCAGTCCACTAACACAATGGCACTAATGTAAAGGAAATTACAGAGGAGGATGACTCAGTCCACTAACACAATGGCACTAATTTAAAGGAAATTACAGAGGAAAGATGACTCAGTTCACTAACACAATGGCAATAATGTAAAGGAAATTACAGAGGTAAGATGACTCAGTCCACTAACACAATGGCACTAATTTAAAGGAAATTACAGAGAAGGATGACTCAGTCCACTAACACAATGGCACTAATGTAATGGAAATTACAGAGGAAAGATGACTCAGTCCACTAACACAATGGCACTAATGTAAAGGAAATTACAGACGATAGATGACTCAGTCCACTAACACAATGGCACTAATGTAAAGGAAATTACAGAGGAAAAGATCAGTCCACTAACACAATCTAATGTAAAGTCGAAAGATGACTCAGTCCACTAACACAATGGCATTAATGTAAAGGAAATTACAGAGGAAAGATGACTCAGTCCACTAACACAATGGCACTAATGTAAAGGAAATTACAGAGGAAAGATGACTCAGTCCACTAACACAATGGCATTAATGTAAAGGAAATTACAGAGGAAGGTGACTCAGTCCACTAACACAATGGCACTAATATGAAGGAAGAGCTGGCTACCATGGTCATGAAGCGATGGGGGTAGGTAAAATTAAAGGACTCTTTTTCCCCACAATCATGCGTGTTGGATGTATAGGGCTAGACATGTGTTTTATAGTCTAATCAGCACTAGGTGGGTGATGAGGTCACATCGCGCCGGCCGCATTTATTTCCCTGAACTTTGCTGGTACTCATTTAAGCCTGGGTCAACCTGGAAGCCAATGTCATTTTTAAGAGAGAAAAAAAAAGTTCGGCTCCGACAGGACCTGAACTCACAGCCTTCGGATCCGCAAGCGAGCGTCTAACCTCTACACCGCGGGGGCTCCCACGTAGGGAAATACAACTCTTGTAACTGCAATAAACAAGCTGGCCTGCATTGATTGGCCTTAATAAGTAACAGAGACAAAAAAGTAAGGCTAGAAGGACACGTCAGACAACATACAAATAGAAGGCGAGAATCGGATCTGTCGCCTAAGTGTTCACAGCGGCGGTGTCTCGTTGACTAGTCATTTAGGGCCGACTCAATGCATTGAGAATGATGTAAGTTGTATTAAAGCAAAAGCAGTATTTTGCAGAAATATTCTTTGCAGTCTTTTGCTGCCAACTGAGGTGACAGCGTTCCTAATAGCGTCATATGAGCTGTAATTTAATTGTTAACTCATCTCTATGTAATTTTTTTTCCTTCTTCGCGTTCACCGGCTGCCAGACTCCAGGGGAGTGGGTGCATATGCAGTACCAAGGGTGATAAAACCGCTTGAAGTAGACAATCGTATAGATAATATTCTGTCACTTCCTCCGTTTGGACTATCAACTGATACCAAACAGTGAATTCTTTACTGCAAATCCCACTCCATACATCCGGATTTCTTCCTGACCTCTGACTCTCCAGAAGAATGCATAATTATTTTCTCTAATGGACCCATCCTCTGGCAGACGGGTTTTCTGCCGGCCAGCAATATTTATGTCATGTTTGCAGAGTTCGGCATCGATGATAGCCGTTTTTCTCACATCACTAATGTTTTCCAGGTCAGTAGAAAACCCGAGAAACATGGTTTTTGCGTTCCAAGAGCCAAGTTGAAGCTTGGGGTTATGTTTTTTTTTTTTTCATTGTCTGGTGCACTGGTTTTTACAGCCTGCAGTTCAGATTTTGTCCTAGTCCCAAGCACCCATTGAAGCATACAAACTGTGGCGGATCAACACCTTATTGTCTGGGGGCTGCCCAGCTTAGGTCGAGCGGTAATTGATCAGTGACATTTGAAGGGCGCCCTCGTCTACGCCAACTGACAAGGACTTATAAGACTAACTGCTGCCTCTCGATTTGTTTCCAAAACCAATTGCGGCCAGGGATGAAGTTTATCTGCTCCATAGCACAAAGCCTGGGCAGTATTGTAGAGACCATATGTTGCACATGCATCATGATCCCTCTGTCAGCCTGCCTTGTTTACTCCAAAGGAAAGGTAACACCAATACGTTTGGAACAAAGCAGGCTGCAGAAGCTGCCAGATCAGTGCTCTATCTGCCCGACTATCGGAGCTTCCCTCCTAGACCAGCTGCCAACCAATGTTAAGGGCCTAGTCTGCCCTGCCATAACATAAAGTTTTCAGGTTGCATTTCCTCTTCCTAGGATAAGGTTAGTATCCTTCCCAATGCGCTCCTCTGCCCGAAGCCATTGGCACAATATGGGAAGTCAGCTTTGGTATACGCCGCCCAACATTCGGCATAACAGAAGACATGAGGTACCGGCTACTGTTATACGGTAGCTCAGTCATATCTGACCAAGACCTGACCTTAATATAGAGTTTATATATATATCTATATATATAAAAATCAATGTTTGTGTGTTTGTTTCACCCCTATAGACTCGGAAACTATAATGATTGTATTAGACACGTGCGATTTCTATTTTCTTTTATTTCTATTTAGCCAAACTATGCCACAGCAACGCGTGGCCGGGTACAGCTAGTATATATATATATATATATATATATATATATATATATATATATATATATATATAATCATTGTCTGCTCAGATATAGAGATAGTCTTTGATCCCCGCCCACCACCACAAATAAATCCACCTACTACTATCTCCCTCATCAAAGGTTTTTGGAAAAGAAAGACAATGGAAATCGCACGTGTCTAATACAGTTAATGTCGCAATCATTCTCTGCACAGATATAGCGATAGTCTGGTTTTCCAACTTTAGAACACGCACCTTATAATTGTGTCTTTATATTA